GTGTTTTTGATTACATTAAGATATATTTAATAAGTTTAGTATATTTTGTTGATAATGAAAGCTTGATTTAAATGTTTCTCAATGAATGTTGAGTGAAAGCAGGGCATTGTTATCACAAACTGGCAATGTTAATAGTAGTTTGAAATCTATATTATGTTGTATGTTATTTTAACCATCAAAATGAATCTCATCAGTATGTGAAAGACTATACCTTACAGTTTGCTAGTTGTTTTGTTCAGTCACATGGTGTTAACAGTTCTGCAAAATACACAACATTTATTGACAATTTATGACTTTAAACCATCACGGAAAAGTTATTCCTGGATGGAGATATAGTACAAAATTGGAAGGCAGTGGAAACAGATGTTCAAATTCTATATGGATACAAAGGAAGCAAATGGAAAAAACAGCAAATTCATGATTGCATATTACTAAATACTATGTGATGAGATGGCATGGAAATATTTAACTAGGGCAGCAATGAAGAATAAAGAAGGTTACAATGATATGATGAAGAAATTTCACATAAAACTTGGAGGTGAGAAGAGAACAGTGTTTAAAAGATACAAGTTCAGAGAGTTATAGAGATCAGAACATCAACCATGATTATCTAACATTTCTTTGCTGCTCAGTGCAATTTTTTAGAAAAATACATGATTAGGGATAAAATAGTGTTTCCTAACACAGATAAGAGTCCTAAAGAGTGAGATAAAAAGACATATCTAACAGAGACTGTAGATATATGTAAAGCAACAGATATTATTCACAAAGAATTTTAGTCAATGAAAACCCGTTCTCAGGATAAAAGCTCTGAGCAGTCAGAAAATGTTCTCAAGAAGAGCAGTAAATATGCCAAAATAATCATCTAGTTTAAAAAACAGAAACAACAGGAAATAGGTAATAGCAAATATGATAGGCATGGCCACATTCATGGCTCAAATCATCATAAAGTCTGCTAAGTTTACAGAGAAACATGTCATAAAGTTTCTTGTTATTATCATGGTGTTCATAAGTGTAGAACAAATATGAATAAGAAACTGCATGAAGTCACTACAGAGAAGCATAGTGTAAGCAGTGGTGATGAGTGTTTCTTTGACATAAGTATCAAGTGCCCCAACATAATGACCTCTCCATTGGATATAAATGCCTATTTTGAACTAGTCATTGTCTGTAAATCACATAACAAAATGACAACTGACAGTGGTACAGAGACAAACACATACCTGTGAGATGGTATAAAAGAAAATCTAAGACTGATCTATTCCAGCACTGTCTCCAGTAACTCCAAAAGCATTTGGTGGCTGAACTGTTAAGTATGAAGGTTTTGCCAGTTTCAGTGCATGTGCGTGATAAATATTTGGTTGTAAAAGTTTTCATAACAACTAATGGATTGAAAATGAATGTGGTCCTGGGACTGATGAAGCTAGGTGAAAATAGCATGTGGCCAAACATGCATTCTGTACCAGTAAAAGATGAACCTCCATCACCTTGGACACTGTCACATCAAAGAAGATGCTCTATATTAAAATTGTATTTCACAAGACATACAAAATAGACTACAATAAACTAAATACATTCAAATATAAAGTCACCCAAGAAAGTAGTCAACACTTCTCTCTACTCACCATAATTCACTAACAGAGGTTCCAGTGTTGCTGTTGTCTTTTGATTGCCTTGATGTTTGATCAGGCCCTCACCAGGTTCATTTAGCCAGTTCCACAGGTATCAGACCTCCACGTCATGTCTTTACAGAGGATTGGCCCTTAGTCTCAGACAATCTTCTTCCCAGTTATAGAGGGCCCATGCTGCTATCTTCTGGCAATGGAAGCTGCTCTAACTTGGGTCAGTTTGTGAATCACCTTAAGTGGCTTGAAAAGGAGTTCTACTTTTTGCTTTTTCTGAGATATCTCCTTTAATTGCTTTGGTGAGTGGTTTGTCACTAAAGCACTGTACATCTTAAAGGATCGGAAAGCTTGATTAGCCTGAAATGGATAATCCCCAGTTTGATGGCAGAAACTGTTGGAGAAGCCACCTGGTTCAGCTTCAATGCTGTCACCCTGGTCTTTGTTGCTGAAGTTGCAGCCTTGCTGAAGCCTGCCTCACCTCTGTCTTTCTGGGACTTGGATGACCCTGGAAACACATCTAGTGCCAGAAAGTTCTTTTTAGATTAATGGATTTAATGGTCTCATTGGAGATGAGAGCACATCTGTTACTTTCTCTTCATGGTAGTGTCTGGTCCTAGAATGGGACCAGTCACCAAGCCCGTGGGTCCTGGGTCTACAACTCTTCTGGAGGTGTCAAAAGTGGCAGGGCTGCTTGCAGCTAGGCTCCTACAGCCAGAATGGTGTTGAGCCTGATGATCCAAAAGGGATTTTCCAATGTTATCAGGGTCTTCATCAGCCACTATGAGCAGCTCAGTATCAACCAATTCACTGATTTAGCAATCTCTCACAAATCAGATGGGCTTGCAAACAATGCATCTTTTTTCTTCATTCATTCATTAAATGTTAGCCTAACACTTTCTGTCTCTGCAATAACTTCACATCCCTTGTTGTAGAAGTTTGAGGATCCTACGAGGCTTTGCAAGTCAATGGGAGAAAATTCACTGGTAAAATTCAGATGAATTAAGACCTTTGAACTAACAGTCAATTCGACAACAATAGAATTCACGTTTTTACTAAAAAACATTAGACATTGTTTCATGCCAGAAAATTCACTCAAGAAAAGCAAAGGTCACAATGGCCTTTCAATCACATGATCATTCTAATTGTCAATAATCAAGTGATAACTCTACATTGCATCTTAACATCACTCAATAGCTTAAAATGCAAGGAATTCCACTTCCTTTTAGTCAAACTGTCAATAACTAAGTATCAGCCACAAAATGTTATGCATACATTGTGTTTCCAATACTACTCACTGTCTCAGAAAAGAAGGGGTCAAGAAAACATTTTGATTAGCAGTCTTTTCACCACTTGACCATCCTAGCTATTAATAATTAGGAGAAAAACACACAGTGATTAATGTGCATAACCAGAAAACTTGAAAAGCAAAGAATGCTAATTAATTTCGGCCATCAGGTGTTCGACTTAATGACTGTCCTAGCTTTGACAATCACTCCCATATCAATTGGAATGCCAGTGTTGGTGTTTCATCTGCTGGTCAGAGATAGTAGTTACTTTCATTTCCAGCAACTAATCTGTTTGATGAAGAGTGCCAGATAAGTCTTTGTAGCTTTCTCTCCTTCATCAAGTATATCGGGATGACTTAGGATAGTGTCCTCATCTTCTCCTAGCTCCTCAGTTTCCTTTCTTGACTCTCGTCGAGCAAGTGCACTAGAGGCTCATCTGTAATGTATGGATGCCACTTATTAACATGTTTCACACACTTTCGCATCAGCTGTATTACAAGACCAAATTGTTGGGGTATCAGTTACGGGCCAATCATTGATTTCTTGCAATGCTCCAAATCATGCTATCCAGATTTTGACCAACACCTCTGCCACAGTCTGTGCTAGCACACTGACCAATGAATAGGCTTTGGCCCACTCTATGAAGTAGCTGATGGCAACAAGTATGTAGTGATCATTTCTTTCAGTCTCCAGAAATAGACCAGTGATATCCAGGACTACTATATGTAGAGAAGGCCCAACAACTATCTGTTGGAGTTTACCCTGTCTCAACCAGTTTTATCTCTCAGTGGTACCTACTGTAAGCACTAAAAACATCTTGGCTCACTTGCAAGCAGAAGAATCACCAATGAATGTTAGAATAGTGCAGGTTACACCTTAGTATCCACCAGTCTTTGTGTTAAGCAAAGTCCAGAGTATTTCTTACTACAAAACTCTGGAGGCAACTAACTGCAGAATTGTCAGAGCATCACACCTCATGGGTTGATAGCAGTTGTACAGCACACTTTCTTATGTTTGTGACTACTTGTACATGTGTCACAGTTTAAATGTATCCATGCTGTGCTCCTTTACTACTGCTGGTCAGGCTTGACCTTGATAGACAGCAAGGACTGCCCACACTAACTCAGGGTCCTTCAATTGCTCATCCCAGATTTACTAAACATTCAGCAAAGTGTATTCCACTTGCACAGTGAACTTCCTATCATAAAAGTAGTTTCTACAGTGTTTCAGGAAGACAACTGTTACAGTCAGTTCTTTATTCTCATACAGTATTTGTGTTTATGAGCTGTAAGCCAATGTGATTACACATTCTACTTGGTCCTGCAACTGCAATAATACTGCTCCAACTCCATTGACACTGGTGTCTAGAAGAAACTAAAAGTCCTGGCATGGAATGGTAAACACTGGAGCATCCATCAAAGCAAGCTTTAGAAATTGAGAAAGTATTTTTGTAGCAGAGGTAAGATTTTGTATCAGAAAAAAGATATAAAGCATATACAATTAGACATTTTCATCTTATTCATGCACTTCTACTGAGGTCACAAACCAGCTGCCCAAATCATAATGAAAAGATTATTGACATCAACATATCGACAACTAAGCTAGAAAAATGCTCTTCCCTTCTGGTGGAACATGTTATGAAGAGTTGTGATACCATCTCATACAATTTGGCAAAGGGAAGGCTTCTACTCTGAAATACCTTATGCAGCATGATGATATTGGACTAGAACATTTCTTAGTCAACCAAATCTCACAAATTAATTTACTGGATATTGGCTTGTGCATATTGCCTATCTTTATGATGTGAAGAAATAACAGCACAATGAATAAACTTGTTTACTACAAAGAATAGATTCTGATTCACGACCACATTGTATATCCCTAGCACTATAACCAAGCATAAGGTTTAACTCCTGGCAACTCAACTGCTCATTAATTTTGTGTAAAAGTATTTCATCAGCAAGAAAGATTGTTGGGTAAGTCCATGAATCAAATTAGGAAGAACTTATTTCAAGTTATAAACACATGAACTAAGTGTATTCAATTTGTATTGGGAAAGGAACAGTATGAAAAATACAAGCACAAAGTGTACAGGATTCCAATGACTAGATTTATTAAAAATGTAATATGAAAACTTGCATTTTGTTATGCATATCACAACATAAAAACTTTTCAGCAAAATAAATGGCTCTTATACAAGCACTTTCATTCAGAATTGCTTGTAGATCAAACCTTTTCTTCTTCTTTATATTTTAAAAGGAAAAAATAATCATTAACATTGTGTCAACACTACAAGTTTTGGTACTTTGTTAATCCTAAGTCCAGAAACTGAACAAAGGTCCTTTATAGTTCAACATTCTAATGAGGACATTCTAAGCCTTTAATGTTTAGTTTACTTGTCTCCAATGAATTTTTCAGTAAATGTTCCTTATTTCATACCTAATTGTAAAATTAAACAAGCCATGATGAAAGATATCTACCAATGATAAGTAATTTTCAAAAAGATAGAATAAAACAATCAAAAAGCATATTTATAAAAAGATCCAAACTTTTTCACAGCTGTAGTGTTACTCATCTTTCCTAATCTTGGGCAACACTAGTACAGGCCTCCCAGTGGGTCACTGCAAAAATAAATTTTCAAAAAAGTTTCCCCCTTTCTAAAAATAAGGAATAAATTGTGACTTGACAAACCCAAATATATAGATTTGGATATATACAAATTATATTTTACTGATAATAAATGTGAATTTCTATACCCATCTGTAAAATTTGCATTACTTTGTGATGACAGAAAATTTATATTGAAAGTTTTGACACTACTGATAATGAAGTCTGGTTTACTCTTTCACATAAAATTTGTTGCAAAACAATTATATTTCCATATATCTGTATTAGATAATTATGATAATATCATGACTACAGTATTGAAAATTTGGTGACAAAATGTTTAAACAATATAGGTTTACCTTCAAATCTAAAAGTTTTAGCCTATTTTGACACTAAATGTTTCACCGGGAGGCCTGCTAGTAATGCATTATCTTCTTGTCACAAGCTTCATAGTATGGTGTTTCTGAGATAAATATTTTGGCAGTCACAATGGGTGTTGCACTGTCCAGTGTGAAGTTTCATTAGGGTGAGTTTCCTACACAGAAATATATATAAAAAAAAGAAAAATACATTAAACCCTCAAGGTTGTATCCTTCATATACCATTGAATTGTGAGAGTAAATTTGAGCAATAAAGATCTAAACACCAAAATATTAAGAGTATAACAGGACTTATTTGTTAAGATACAGCACAGTACAACATTTTCTGCACAAGTCTTATAGTAGAAGTAAAGATAACATGTTGAATTAGTTTTCATGCTAAAAGACCAAAAAAAATAAATAAAAAATTACTGAATTAAAATTCTTCAAATTCCTTAATTGCAGTATTACCTAAAGCGTAACACATTTTAAGTAATTTTAACTAAATTTTATTATTTTATCTGTAAATTTACACTAATGTACATAAAAATGTACAATTATTTCCCAAGAGTTATAAGTTGAAGTAATTTTATGCTGAAAAACTTTGCACTTCCTATCTGGTAACTTTACAAGCTATAATTTTTTTCCACAACTCATGAAAGTGATGAACAAACAAACAAATTAATATACGAACACTAATTTGCAACAGTTTAGGCTAGTTGTCCTTCTTCATATATATGCATAAAAACATTCTTAAACATTACAGATGACACTCGAAATACAAGTAATAATCCTTACTGTAAGTGGATGCTCGTATCATGACAGATATGCATGTTCTTTAACACAAGTATGTGTTGAAGATCCTTTCACTATTAACATTTTTTTCCATAAAATCTTGACTATATGTATATAATTTTTTTGAAAATTAAGTTATCATTATTTATTCGTTCAGACTCAGACATCTGTTAACACATTATTACACACAACTTCTATTAATAATAACTTATAAGTTTCCAAATAACATTTTGTGCAATCAACTTGTCTAAGTGAAAACTATAGTGTATGATGTCATTGAACAGTCACATACTGTGTACAAAGTGTTTACTGTTTACTGGCTTGTGTTATGTTATTAATAATAACAATAAGTGTGTTATTAATAATTGTAAACCTCTGATATGCTGGCCTGGTAGTCAACAAAATATACAATAAAAAATATCCATTACAATTTCTTGGCTTTGATTTTGTTGGTCCATTACCATCCATTGCAAACTGATACTAATACACCTGTGTTTCCATTATTTCACTCAATGGGTAAAGAATCTATCAATTTAATAATGGATAGACAGACTCAGTTTGTAAGTGATTTGTTCAAATCAGTTACTAGTACAACTGGTGCAACACATAAGCTTACAACAACTTATCATTCATAAATCAATTGTTCTGAAAGGGTTAATTATAACTTGAAAACAATGTGAAGGTTTTTGTTCAATCCAAACACAGTAATGGGGATGCGTATTTACCTCAATTAGCTCCTCATGTGAGTAATGGTGGATCTCCTGGTTTATCACTTTATGGGAGAGATTTTAAGTTTCCTTTTGATTTTTACCATGATGCTGTTAAGGAACAATCTGATACTTCACGTATGATTCAATTATATAAAAATTCATTGTTAATAACTTTGAGACTATTAGTCCTTTGTTTTACAACAACTAGATCAAACACATGCACAACAGAAAAAAAATATTATGACAATCGTCATCACCCACTGACTTTTGGAGTTTCAGATGTGGTGAGTTTTTACTCATTTTGTATCTCATGGAGACATTGGTTTCACTGGAATGTTGGCTCCTATTCATTGCAGTCCACTTTGAGTTGAAGAAAAACTTTTAGATGGGATTTACAAATTGAAGTGTACCAAATGGTATTTCAATTGGAACACATGTTACTAATATCTCACTATATTATATTTGGGATAATTTCTATATTGAGAAAGATACTGTTTTTAAACAATCTTATGAGGACAATGTTAATCAATCTGTTGCTTCAGATTTTATCAAGACACTCTTGATTCAAGTTCACTACAGAAACTTAAGATGATTGTGTAAAAGATTCACTTAACATATCAACTAATATGTTGTCAATTTCTCAGTTAGATGAAGGAGTAGTTTCACTTCATATATTAAATAATAGGTTGAACAATTGCCAAGTTTTTTTATTAAAAGAAGGATGATGTTTTGAGCTGGCACTCTTCACCAGGTTGTACAGTTTACAACAAAGACACATGTGCAGAATTCCAAGAACTTGTATGCGTAGTACTTTGAATGCTGAGCATGAAAATTCTAAGCAAAATTACATCTATTACATAAAAATTACAAAACATGAAATTATAAAACAGATAGCAATTAAAATTTTAACAAAAAATGGAAAAACTTGAAATATACAGGAAAGAAAAGGATTCATTTAAACCAGACGGTTGTAGGGTCCCCAGATTGTAGATCATTCTCCTTTCCAGTCATTCCCTTTTATGAATGTCTATTGGAGCACTAATTAGTGCAAGAATAAAAAAGTCCTCAACTGTATGGTTGTTGATGGTGAAATGTTTGCCTATAGGTGTATTTTGGTTCTGCAGTTTAATATGGTTTAGATGTTCTCATGCTCTATCACTGAGTCAGCAGCCTGTTTGTCCAATGTATAAACTATTGCATGTTTTGAAAATTTTACAGTAAGTGATACATTCAGCGGTACACGTAAAGGACTGTCTTATGTCGAAAGTTGTTTTCTTTCCTCATATATGTGTAGTGCTGTTTATATGTGGGCAGGTGACACATGTGTGAGTGCCTGGAGTATTATTTTGTTTCTGTTTAAGGTTACTGTGCACCAGGATTTCTTTCAGGTTTTTGTCATGTCTGTAATTATTTAATTTTGTTATTTTTGTCACCTATGCAGTTTTAACTATATTTGTCACTTCATATATTGCCAATATACAATCATCTTCAATATTGTCCTCCATCTAATCTTGATGGTGGTTATCATCTTTGTTTTGGTAACCACCCTTAAACCACAACTGAATAGTTCTATCATCAATGGACAGCATCTGCCTGTTGTAGAAACCTACAAACGTAGAGGACGAAATTTCGAAAGTCTTCCACCTTTCGTCTTCAGGTCAGTGTGTGTGTGTAGTGTAGTTTGGTCTTTATAGTGTTCTAGTGGACTGTGGAGAGCGTGTTATGATTGGTTGGTTAAAACACGTTTCTGATTGGAGGAGAGACTTCCTGTAGCCTCAACCAATGGTAGCCACGGTTGACTCACCTCTAATTCTGAATCTCTGTTTAATGAAGGTTTTACAGTGTTAATGTAAAACAATTCTTTAATTTTTCTTGTCTTCAAAAATTTGTCTGTGTTGATGATTCTAGCTTTTTCCCAGTTTATGTTGTGTCCAGTTGACATGGCGTGTTCAGCAATGGCTGATTTTGTTCTTTTATTCTTGTTGCAAGTCTTCTTCCCGTTTCTCCAATGTACGTTTTGTTGCAGGAACACGGAATTTCATAAATGACGTTTTTTTGTTTGTTGGTATGTTTCTGTTTGTTCTTCACCAGAATGGATCTTAGTGTTTTGTAAGATTTCCATCAGACATCTATGTTGAATTTCTTAGCTTTTCGTTTGAGTTTTTCACTGACATTTTTCAGGTATGGGAGGTATATGGTTGTAGTGGTGGTGGTTTCTTTATTTTTTTTTCTGTTGTGGTCTTCTTCAGGGAGTTCTTGATGAAGTAAGAGGTGTAACTATTCTGTTTAAAACACTGTATGATGTTTTGGCATTCTGTTTCAATGGATGTGTTATCGCAAATGTTTTCTGCTCTCTTGTTTAGGCACTGGATTATACTACGTTTTATCGAGGTTGGATGATAGGACTGGAAGTGTAGATATCTGTTCGTATGGGTGGGTTTTCTGTATACAGTTGTGGTGATTTTTCCTTCTTGTCTGCTGATCAGTATGTCAAGAAATGATAAGCTATTTTGTTCCTCTATTTCTATGGTGAAGTAAATATTCTTGTCTATGGAATTAAGGTGTTGTAAGAAGGCTGTTAGGTTTTCACGACCATGGGGCCAGATAAGCCATATCAACTGGACACAACATAAACTGGGAAACAGCTAGAATCATCGACACAGACAAATTTTGGAAGACAAGAAAAATTAAACAATCATTTTACATTAACACAATGAAACTTTCATTAAACAGAGATTCAGGATTAGAGGTGAGTCAAATTTCTGATTGGAGGAGAGACTTCCTGTAGCCTCAACCAATGGTAGCCACAGGTTGGGTTAAACACGAATCATAACACGCTCTCCACAATCCACTAGAACACTATAAAGACCAAACCACACC